CTTGCAAATGGCTTGGATCCCCCGCGGAAAATCTACGATACATTACATCAAAGCAAACACGTGTTTTTTCTAGCGTTTGCGAGTAAGCACTGTGCGAGTAGCGGAACGCGCCCGGTGAACGCCAGAGCACCTACTCAAGCGACCCGCGCGCTACTCACTAGGGCCGGCAGGGGGCATACCACGTTGCTCAAGGACCGAGCTCCGAAGGGGCCCCGTAAGAGGGGCCCGCTGCCTTACATCACGAGTCCCTTCGGGTCAGGGCGGGGGAAGCGGTTGCTGGCCATTCCGCGTGCCCGAATGGAGGAGACGCGCGTGCTTAGCAGGGCGCCCAAGGCAAAAGGGGGGAGGAGACGACGGCACGACCTCAGAAGGAGAGGGGGCAGAGACGGAAGGCCCGAAACCCCAAACTGTTGTTGGGGACTGCTAAACTACAGTTGAATTCCGTGCTCCCCTTTCTCGCCCAGTTCACTTCTCGGTCGTGCCGAGGGATGTTGCATGTATTGTCACATCTGTACGCTGGTACCCTGCTGAAGTAGCCCACGGATTCCCCCTCGGAGTGTGTATAAGGTAGAGCATACTGGAAGTCACGGGCACAGGTAGGGCCAATCAGGAGCACACTTGTGGGCCTCCTCCCTCCTTCGACACCCTGCAGTAGTGTACCTGATGGTATTCCAACAAATACTTCCCATTGCGATGGCGATGCAGGCGCTCTGTTATGCCCATCTTGTCTGTCATGAGTTGCACCCCGAAAAACCTCGCGAATGCTCCTCCTGACTGCCTGCGGGCACGGCCAGCTCGCATCTTGCCTAGATTAGCACTCCGAAAAACCTCGCTAATGCTTCCGTTCGGCATATCAGCAGGCTCCAGTGGGTGCACTCACTGCTGGCCGCTGGATGATCTGGCCGCAGTGCTATCTGGTATAGGGGAACTGAGCTCCATCACCCTGCGTGCATGTTTGAAGTTGCGGATGAAGCATTGCGCTACGGCACATGTCGCCCAGGCGCTCATTCGTAAAAACCTGCACGCTGCCCCTTCATTGGCGTCGCACTTGTGCGACCTGGGCTGGAGATGAGAAACTGCATGAGAAGGAGGCGAGAAGTAGGACGGATGAGTGGCGAGGTGGACGCAGGCCAGGATCATCGATGCTTGCTCGAGCATGAACTAACATAGGAATCGGTCGGCAACATGAAAGTTGAAGCCGGTGAGCTCGACGACGTGCTCGAATCTGATTACGAGCTCCGAAGCCTCGACCCAATGCACGCGGCATGTGACAGCCAGACTGGAAGACGCCATCTGTGATGCAACAGAACATTCGCAATGCAATACATCGCGTTTGTGAGCACGAACGGCTCCTCTGGGGCGCAGAAGAGACAACCTCATAAACCATCACGATATGGATATATCTCGCGGAGCCCGTTAAGTACAAATGAAACTGCTGCACCGCAAAAGCTCGGATCGGACCATGATGCATGGACGAGGAGCACACATCAGGAGGGTCCTGATTTATGCGGCGTTCTGGCCGCGAGCCGCTCGTCGCTGGTGGCAAAGGCAAGGCCGCAAACACGTCCCTTTCGATCGGCGCCTGAAGTGCGGCAGATGTCGTAGTGCAAGTCGGGACAAGCCAAGGCGACACGGTGGCGCCTCTTGCGTACCTGCTGCAATTGACGATGCGCATCTCCGCCGCCAAGAAACACTTGCCCGCCATTGCGCGCCACTGCGCAGCTCGGAGAGCCAACTGCGGTGACCGTGGTACCAGAAGCATCTGCTCGCGAACGACCCGCGAGAGGATGCACGGTGTTGCAAGACGTTCTCAATCGGAGCTGGAGCCCTGGACGATTAGCGAAAACATGAGCGCAGGACGACGAGCGGTGTCTGCGCCGATGATCAGCGGCAGCCGCTCGCATTTCATGTTGTGCGCTCTCGAGTCAAACTGTCCAACACCGTGCAAGGCGCAAGCATGCCGCGTCAGATGAACTTTGTCTTGTCGCTGCGCTGGCAACTGCTCACGGCGGGAGGGCCCAGGTCGGGTTGCGAAACGGCACGCTGTGGACCACACAGCTGGGGATGGACTAAAGCAGCCGCCGAGAGGGGACCGCGGAAGGCGGAGCGCTCAGATCGTGAAGAACATCACGCTGGTGCGGCGACCCAAAAGCCTACTCGGAGCCGTGACGTGTCGTGGACGTCGGGAAAACATGCATGCGGTCACGTGCGGCGCAGCCGCTCGTCAAGGTCTTGAACACCACCAACTGCCAGGGCGAGGTCGTCTGTGCATCGACGATCCAAGAGTCTGCCACCGCGCTGCCAACCTGGGTGAAGGGGGGAACCACTCCGCGCCAAGCCAAGCAGAAGCCCTGGCCGCCACCGACATCTCGAGGATGTCGGGGCGTGCGGCAGGAAGTGGGGCATGTGGAAGCGGCGCTGCGTCCTCGACCCTTTGAGTTCCTGGCCAGCCGTGGATATCTCGAGACGGGCCGCTTGGGCCGCAATTGTCGCCCTGCGCCTAGCAATCCTGGTACGCAACACGCAACCCGCAGCGTGTTGAACCAACAGCCACATAAACAGAAACTTCTGGAGGTCTGCGCGGACTTCTTGGATCTGCGCTGGACCCCCCTCCCAGGCGCGCGGAGCGCGCCCGGGGGGGGCCCAGCGCGGATCCAAGAAATCCGCGCGGAGCGCCAAACACTTACGTTTACGTTTTTGTTCCTCCTTCGACACGTGTTGAGCCGACACTCGAACGTCTCGACCCAATATGCTCTGTTGCAGCGTGGGCCGGTCACGTACGAAGTGCCACTCACGGCTGAGGCGCCCCGCAGGACGCTCGGGCTCTCGTCGGGCGCCACGGCGCGGCCGCGGGCGCCCGGACATGCAACCAAACAGTCCGGCATCTTCGGCGTCGTCGGCGTCGTCGTCGCCATTCAGGGTCGGCGGCACCGGCCGTAAGGCCTCCGCAATAGTCTGGCACCTTCGGCAGCTGGGCGATACGCTGCGCCCACTGCCGCCGGCGCCAGGTCGCCCAGGAGCAGTCGATCGGCACAGGCTCAGCCCACGGCGGAGGACCTGGGCGTGCCGCCACGGCCTCGGGGAGCAGCAGGGCCTCGGCCGCCGCCGCCGCCGGGAGCCACCGAAGTCAGCCAGGCCGGTTCGTGATGGTGTGTGCCGCTGTTCGAACGCACGACCGGATGTAGCTGCCGTCGCCGGCCCTTGCAGTGCAAGGGAGGCAGGTGCGCATGTGGCGCGCTGGCCCTCTAAGAAGACCGGAACGGAGCTGCAACATACGCAAGACGATTCATTGCACGCGCTGGAGTTAGAAGGGACAGGGGAGAAAAGAGGGAGGCAGATGGATCAAGAACGTGGAGAGTTATGGTGCGACTCGCCACCACCACGAAAATTGCACGTACGCGCTCTCACATTCACTCGGGAACTTCTGCTTAGCGTGTCGCGGCGGCGGCCCTGGGGAATAGATTGCCCTGCGAGCAGATAGCGTGCCTCCGCTCCGCTGAAGGCTGGAAACAGCTTGGGACGCTGACGCTTGGGAATGGGGGCGTGGATAGCGTGTCGCGTCGAAGCATGTTAGGTTAGAACCGACGGCGTGACACGCTAAGCCAAAGGTTTTTTATGACAGCACTGCCGTTGAACAAGACGTTGGTGTCGACATCCAGCGCGAGAAAAAGAAAGAGGGGGCGAAGCAGAGGAGGGAGGCCGAGGGAGGAGGATGGGGGAGAACAGGAGGAGGTGAGTGAGGGAAGGAGCCATATGATCAGACACAAACATTAAAATCGACGTTCGCCTTGCATGATCGATATCAGTATGCGTTTCATGGTGACTACAGTGTGTCCCCGTGTTCTGCCTTGCAAAAGCTGTCGAGCAGAATGTGGAGGATGACCAGAAGGGAGTGGGAGGGGGACGATCGGAGGAATAAGAGAGGGACGGTCACGAGGCGAAGAGTAGAGACAGGGAAAGGCGGGGGGAGGACACATATGCTCAAAATATCCAGTATGGATGTTCGGCCTCCCTTCGGGCATTTCCTCAAACCTGGGTATGTGTCACTGTTGTTGTAAACAGTGTTTGGGCCTCTGGAAAGCTGGTAGGGCATGAGTAGGGGGGGGCAGGGGGAAGAAGAGGATTGGAGGGGAGGGGGAGGAGCGGGGGGGGAGGAGGAGCTACAATGAGGGAGGAGTCGAAGATGAGGTTTTGCGCTGGGGGAACGGAGAGGAGGAGTATGGACGGGTGGGAGGATGGGAGGAGCGGTATGAGAACAGGGATCCGGGGGGGCAAGTGAGGAAGAGGAGAGGAGTGCCAACACCCGTTCCAGAGGCTGCGTTTCTAAATTCCGGACTTGCACAGTGATTGCGTATAAGCGTGTATTGCCGGGGGTGTGCCCTCGAACCCCACCGCGGAGTATCGCCGCCCGCTCCTGCGCCGATGCAGACACCCTTCGAAGTTTCTCCCTAGGTGAGGCGTGCCGCTAAAAGTGTAAGCGGGACGCCTACTGGAAGGGGTCGCTGGACTGAGCAGTGGGCGGGCGTTGAGGCACCTCCTCGATGTGCCCGCCCGCCCATGGTTTCTCTGACGGCTGGCTGTGGCAAGTGGTGCCAGGTGGGCCCTAGCAGCAAAACCCATCCCCATCTCTCTCATCCTCACACCGACCTCCTCCTCCTCCTCTCCTCCTCCTCCTCCTCCTCCCTCCTCCTCCTCCCCCTCGCCTTTATGGTGTTCCTTCTCCTCCTCCTTCTGCTCCTCCTCCGCCTCTTCCTCCCGCGCGCCATCCGCTTCGCCCCCCTCCTGCTGCTGGGGCGAGCAACTACCTCCTCGTCCTCGTCGCCGCTCACGGCGCCCTCCCCGTCCCCGATCTCGACGTCGCGCCGCTGGGCGACTGCCTGGAGTCAGAGGATTCGGAGGAGGAGGAGGTCTAGGGTTGAGCAAAACAAGTGGGAGAAAGGTCGTGTGAGTCCGCCTGCGCAAGGCTCGTCTTGCCCATCGCCGGCACAAAAATTGTCTCAACGATTATTCTGGGAAGACCCCGCCACCACGTTCTGATCACCAGGCGGGGCAGGAGAAAGAAGAAGAGGAGGAGGAAGAAGAGGAAGACCCTGGATCTTACGTTCCAGGTGCTCGTGCCTCGCAGCTTGCCTGAGAGAAAGGGGTCTGGAGGCCCTCCCAAAGAAGGACTACGGGCAGACGACGGAGGGGCCCAGGCCCGCGACGGAGGGCGGCCCAGAAGGAGCGACAGGAACACAGACACAGAGGGCCCGAGAAGAACGATTGAACAAAACCAAGTGAGGGGGGGCCGACCGCGAACAGAAGAATCCATCTGTCGGGGATGGACAGAACCCCCTTTCGTAAAACGTGCTTTGGTGAAAGCGACCTCGGGCCCGAACCTGGCGGGCGCAAGCCTGGAACACGACGGCCGCGGCGCCCTCTCGAGAACCGAAAACGGACAGTTCACGCATCGACGTGTCAGGGTGGGGACCCCGTCCACCCCCGAAGGTGGGCGACGACCTACTGGCTCTGGCCAGGCCCGTCCCGGGCCCAGGAGCTGCGTGTGGGCCTCCATGGCCGGGCCAGGAGGGCGCATGCGCCCTCCAGTGGGGGCTCCGGACGAGCCCGAGAAGCCGAGTGCGCCGTCGCAGCTCGTGCTCCTCGGGCCGCTCAGGTGCGGTGCCTCTCCTCTCGTCGCTGCTGCGGCCAGGGCTTTCGCCACCACGACAGGCGACGGGGAGCAGCAGCCGGGCGAGGAGGGAGGGCGGGGGAGGAAAACAGTGGAGTGAGCGAGGGGGAGGAGGGGGAGGGGGAGGAGGGAGCAAGGGAGGGAGAGGGGAGGAGAGGAGGGATGACGGAGGCGCAGCCCGATGCGCCACCAGGAGGTGGGATGACGGAGAAGACGGGAGGGAGGAAGAGAGAGAAGGGATGAGATGCGAGGGAGGCGAACACTAGGTGCGCTCGCGTCAAGTCTGACATCCTGTCGCTCCCTCTCAACCCTTCCCATAGCGCTGGTGCTGTCTTGATTCGCGGACGCGTGTCATGGCCCATCCGTAAGTCAAACAGAAGACCACTATCGAATTATGCGCAGTCGGAAAGAGGAGAGCTGCGTGCACCGGAAGTGGAGGTGGCGGGTGAGCAGAAGGATGAGCAGGAGGATACGGGGGAGGACGTGGAAGGAAGAGGGTGTGGACGAACAGCAGCAGCAGCAGCAGCAGCAGCAGCAGCAGCAGCAGCAGGAGCTTGAGTGGAAGGAGCGGGGGGGGGGACAAGATGACCAGCGGAAGGCGAAGGGGAAATAAAGGAGTAGAAAACGATGAAAATGACTCGGATCCAGAGAAAAGGCCCGCGCTGGGGCGAGAGCGCAAGTCTGAACGATGGGCAAAGCGCCAGTCCAGAAATTATACCCACGCTGCACGGGGAGCATCTGGTTGAAACAACGAATAAATCGGGTCGTAGGACATTATAGGAAAGACAACATTCGTCAAATTATAAATGCAAAACTAGACGCGGAGAGAACTGGCTATCTCCTGGACTGACTCAGGCAGAGCGGATAATAGTATTCAGAATGTGTCATCGTGGAGAGGGGGGCGACAGGGGAGAAGGAGGCAGGAGGAGGGAGCAGAAAGGGTGAAAGGAGAGGTGAAAGAGCAGGAAACGGGAGAGAAAGACAGAGAGAGAGAGAGAGAGAGACAGACAAACAGACAGACAGACAGAGAGGGAGAGAGAGATCCCCGCCTCGAAGGCTCTGAAGGATGCATCGTGCGCCGCGGCCGCTCAAAAGCGCTCTGGACCGCTCCGAGAGCGCTCGCCCTGGGCCTGCCGCAGCGCTCGGAGCAGGGCGAGTTGAAAATCGGTCCCCGGACCTCTTCCCGGGTCCGAGCGCACCAATTTTCCGAGCTGCGTCCAGCCGTGGCGACGAGGGGCCCCCCCAACGGCCACCTACCGCTGTCTCAACTGGCCATCCCATGATCGTTACCGTCGCCGCCGTCGTTGCCGTCGGTTTTCGGTTCGTAGCTCGGCTCTCCAGCGGCCGTTTGGGCCGATCCGGGCACTCCCAGAACGCGCTCGGCGAGGCGCAGCTGGAAGGCATTTCGAGGCTGGGAAACCGCGGAAAACATATGAAAACACCCGACAAATTCGAACCGAAAACCCGAAACTACCGTAGTATCAACTGGCCCTCCTCTGACCAACATCAGCCCGCTGTGACACCGCTCCCACCTCGGGTCTACCTCGGGCCCACCTCGGGCCCCGCCCTGGGCGCTTGGGTTTTCTTCGTGTCCTGCAGGGGCAGCCCCAGATATCGCCCACAGGAGGCCACAGGAAGCTTCGAGCTGGCGCGGCGAAGGGCCCTCTAGAGGCACTGAAATCGCCAAAGTCCCATGTGCTCTCTGCGCGCTCGTGCGTCCGACGTTCGCAGTCCGCACTATGTAGTTGGCTTAAACCTTCTCCCCTGCACTCCCCGTCCTCGTCATCCTCTCCTTCCCTCCTCGTCCTCCTGCTTCTCATTCCTCCTCCCACCACAACCAAAGACAACGACGATGGTCTCGACGATGCCACGCCTGCCCCCTCCTCCTCCTCCTCCTCCTCCTCCTCCTCCTCCTCCTCCTCCTCCTCCTCTTCCTCTGCCTCCTCCGTCTCCTCCTCCTCGCCCTCCTCCGCCGCCTCCTCCTCCTCCTCCTCCTCCTCCTCCTCCTCCTCCTCCTCCTCCTCCTCCCCTCCTCCTCCTCCTCCCCCCTCACCCTACCGAGGCCGACGACGCCAATGACCACGACGACGACGAGGACGAGGACGAGGACGAGGACGAGGACGACGACGACGACGACGCCGACGCCGACGACGACGACGACGGCGGCGGCGGCGGCGACGACGCTGACGAGAGCCCGCGTCTGCCTCCAAGGCTGAGACCCCGGCTCCACTCACGGCGGCGTTCGCAGTCGCCGCGGCGAGGCCCACGCACGCGAGCACCTCAGCCGGCGCCAGCAGGCCCGTCATCGGTCGCCGCGCCGCCGTCGACATCGGCGTCGGCATCGCAATCGCTACCGCCGTCGCTATCGTCGTCGCCATCGCCATCGCCAGTAGAGGAAGGAGGAGGAGGTCTCGAGGTTCGATGATCGAGGTCTCAAACTTGTACTCAGATGCTGTTTCCCGAATGCCTGGCCACCCCACCTTCACAGTCAAGAAACAGAAGTGCGTTCGAGTCGCGTGCCAAGGGATTCCACCAACATCCCCCCCCCCCTACCTCCCCAGCACCACGCCAGGGTGGCACTGTGGGCGCAGGCCCCCTCCACCCACGCCAGCAGGATCAGAGCGCGAGCCGTCGCCGTCCATTCGAGGATTAGCTTAGCCAACTCTTCGGCGACTGATCGGATGGGCGCCGGGGAAGCTTCCATCTCCGCACCTGGGGCTGCGTAGGTCACATGCGCCCTCCACCATCCAGGCGTGAGAGTTCGGGCGCAGCAGAGCGGGAGGTTTCACGATGCAGGGGCCACGTGCTGGGAGTGCCCTCCAGCGGACCGCCCCCGCTGCCACGCGAAGGCCCCGCCTGCCGATCTGCAGGTCTGCGTGACCGCTCGGCTCGCCACGCGCAACGCTCGGCCGGCGCGTGGGCTGCGGCAGCGGGGCCATTCTGTTCTGTTGGCGGGGGGAGGGGGCCAGGAGAGCAGAGCGACATCATCAGACATACGTCTCGATCGTCAGCATGGGATGCGGAGGGGTGGTCGGATTAGGATGTGTACTGTGCTCGTTCCTCGCGCACACGCCAAGATACGTGCATCGACCCCATCGGGCAGAGCACAACACCGGATCGCCTCGAAGAGCCGCTCTTTTGCGTCACGCGCGTCGTGGTCGCATGGCCGGCGTCCGCAGAATCAGTCCGCAAGTTGTTTGGCAGGATCAATTTGCCATGTCCTCCATCGGCCCCCGTTATTTCCGCAAAGGCAGGGCGCACTGGTGGAATGTCAAATACGGCGCAAAAGCAGACATCAGACAAGCCTGGGGCGGATGGAGCAGCCAAGACGCAATGCGAGCAGTCTTTGCCCGGTACGAGGAGCATCGGCGCGACCTGCGTTGGCGCCTCCTGCTTCACGATGGCTGAATGTTTTGTCTCTGGTGGCCGACTGGTTCCGCTCCCTGTCGCGGCTTCGCGCTCCCTGACGGGACCGCTCTCTTTTCGTGGCTTTGAGGGAGGCCTGACTGGATAATCCAAGACAATCGTTCAGCTGGCCTGTGGCTTTCTTGACGCACCAACCGCGGCAATTGTGCGGAGCCGTGCGAAAATGGAGAATCGTACCTCTACCCCATCTGCCGGCACCCCTCGTCCCCTCCCCCCATCTTGCTCCAGGGCAGAGCTCGGGAGGAGTGTCTGGTTCGAAATTGTTCCACCCACAGGCTCCCCCACCGATGTGCTCCTGTTCCAAGAGCGCTTCGAGAGATTTGGACATACATGTTGGATGATACGCGAGCAACGAAACGCGAACAGTCTTGACATGATATTCAGTGTTGCTGTTGTTGCTGTTCTTGTTTTTCTTGTTCTTGTTCTTGTTATTGTTCTTGTTCTTGTCGTCGCCGTCGTCGTCGTCGTCGTCGTCGTCCCCCCCCTCCCGCCGACCCACCTCCGCGACCCACACCGCGGCCCACCCCGCGACCCACCCGCGACCCACCCCGCGACCCACCCTGCGACCCACCTCGCGCACGCCCCCTCACTCTTCTCCGCAACTGCGGGGTGCTGAGTCACCGTTTGTTTCTCGATGTCCCGAATTCTCGATGGGTCCCGAATTCTTGATGTCCGCCCCTCCTTCTATGCTTTGCTATGCGCACTGGAAGAGTTCGTCAACGCCGAACTCTCCCAACAACCAAAACACGGCTAGCTGCCTCCTTGGGCGTCGATCTGGCTAGCGGGACCGAGCATCCCACACTTGGAAAGGAGCTGTGGAATCACGCCCCAGGTGGGGTCCATCAAATTACTTCTCCCTCCTCCTCCGCAAGCTGGAATCGTGCTCCCAGGGCCCGTTGGTGAATAGAGCGATTGCCTCCCCTGACGGCCCACAGCGCCAAACAAGACCCCACAGCCTAAAACTTTCCAGATGTTCATTCAAAGCCTCTGGCTTGTAGAGCGTCAACTTTCTCCTCCTCCTCATCCTCCTTCTCGCCCGTCCACTTCCTCCTCCTCCTCCTCCTCCTCCTCCTCCTCCTCCTCCTCCTCCTCCTCCTCCTCCTCCTCCTCCTCCCCCCCTGTCCTCCTCCTCCCTCTCCTCCTCGTCATCCTCCTCCTCCTCCTCCACCTCCTCCTCCTCAGTCACCCTCCTCCGTCACCTCTTCCTCCTCCTCCACCTCCTCCTCCTCCACCTCATCTCCCCTCTTCTTCCGCCTCTCGCTCCTGCTCGTCCTCCTCCTCCGCCTCCTCCTCCTCTTACTCAGTCCTCCTCCTCCTCCTCCTCAGCCCTCCTCCTCCTCCTCCTCCTCCTCCTCCTCCTCCTCCTCCTCCTCTTTCCCCATCCTCCTCTCGTCGTCGTCGTCCTGCTCCCGTCGGCTGGGCCAGCCGGGCCGTGCCCCCAGCCGACGACCGCCAGGATGCGGTGTTGAACCCTTGGACACAGCGCCCAGCAGAAATTCGCGAGTCCTGGATCGCTTCTGCCCTCCACTGAGGGGCAACGATGCGGGGGGGACTGGCTGGGGAGGGAGAATACATCGAAGTCCAGCGGGCTGCAGAGCCCAAAGTTCGCGAGTCCCAGATCGCTTCCGCCCTCTACTGAGGGACAGCGATGAGGGGGGAGGGGGAGGGTAATTGGCTGGGGGAGGGGGGGGGGGCTGGCGGGCTGCAGAACCGAAATTTCGAGTCCTGGATGGCTCTTCCGCCCTCCACTGAGGGGCAACGATGGGGGTGGCTGGCTGGGGTGGATACATCGACCAAGCACAAGATAAGACACCAATTTGGGGACAAGCGAGGTCCCCCGAAGATGCAACTCGAGCCGGCTGGGGCGCCTGCCTTGGAGAGCATGGCTGGCCAGAAAAGGGGGCGCGCGGAGCAGCTCGTACGGTCAACGGAATCCGCCGGACCGGCCCGCTGGGCCGGCTCACTGGGACAGTTCCCTACACCGACCTCCACCTCCTCCAGATGGGCGGGCAGGAGGAGAGGAGAAGCCTCGAGGAGGAGGAGGAGGAGGAGGAGGAGGAGGAGGAGGAGGAGGACAAGGAGGAGGACGAGGAGGAGGAGGAGGAGGAGGACGAGGAGGAGGACGAGGAGGAGGAGGAGGAGGAGGAGGAGAGGATAATGATGATGATGAGGAGGCGGGAAGAGGGAGAGTCTCCAGAAGGGAGGAGGAACCTCCAGGAGGAGGGAGGAGTGGACGACCGATATCTGAAGTCGTTTATGCTCGGGGGCATTGTGCATGGATTTCCGGGCGTCTTCGGAGGAGGGCGACGACGACGAAGTCTGGGGAGGCAGGGGGAGGACAGAGGACCTCTGCATTTTCAAACATTCCAAAGAGGCTTCTCTTGGGGGGAGACTCTCTGAGGCTGCGAACTTGTTGAAAATGCTTGCCGTGATCAAACCCAATGCTCTAGCATAAACCTCACTCTTCTGCCCACAGCTTAATATGGGAAACTGCAGACGCGTGTTCGCAAATTCCAACTGGTGCACTCATGCTCGATCCTTTCCCATGCATGTTCGTGCTATGGGCGCGCGAATGGTGATGACGACGACCAACAGCGGCGACGACGGTGGCGATGATGACGAGGTCGACAGCTACGACGATAACGATGAGGACGACGATGGTGGCGATGATGATGACGACGACGACGGTTAGAGTGACGACGACGATGGTGATTACGACGGTGGAACTTATGATGACGCTTGAGATGATGACAACGATGGTCGTGATGGTGGTGATGGTGATGGTGATGGTGATGATGATGGTGATGGTGATGGTGATGGTGATGGTGGTGATGATGATGATGATGATGATGATGATGATGATGCTGATGCTGATCTGAATCCTTTGGCGGGGGCGGTCCTCCGAAGCGGGGCGCCCACCTGGCTGTTCGCCGAGGGGGTGGGCCACCCCGTATGGAGGCAGCGCGGGCCTGGTCCCGAGGGGCCAGGGCCTCGAGGATCTTCTCTTATACATCCACTCGCTCTTGCGATGCTCCGAGGCCCTGGTTCTCTCACTCAAACTGCTGTGCAGAGACCGCCTCCCATGGAGCTATTCGATTCGATTCGATGATGATGATCCCGCTCTCCCAAAGTGAGTCGAGGCCGAAACGCGCGGAAAATACGAAACAGCATCACTGGGAATCGACTGGAATGTGTTTGCAATGGGTTTGACATGCGTACGCGAGGACGCGCGTCTGTGGCCCGGTCGGAATACTTAACAGAAATGGTGTGTGCGTGATGGTTGCCGATTGATTTCGACATGCGCGCGCGTGTGGCTGGTATGGTCGCTTGAAACGAGTGTCAAAACGTGCGCTGCCAATCATCCAGTGTGAACTAAGACTAAATCAGTGTGGGCGGAGGAACTCTGAATTGCTGAATAAACAAACGTCGTACGCTTGCCATGTGTGTTGAAGAGATCTGGCTTGAACGCGTACGAAGGCGACCTCTTGTTGACGGATGGTTGCAGGTTCGCGGAGGGGCGCGCATGGTAATGCTTGGCGGTTCTTACAATCGCACCTATTCGTGCAACTTTGCACAGCTTGAGAGATGATCTGTCAGTCACCCGCTTGACGCAAGCCCGCAGCACAGGCAACGCCAATTGTAAGGCCATGTGCTCCTGCTCCCCGTGGGCGAAACTGCAGCTTCGGCCAAACGCTTCCTCCCCCTGCTCCTTCTCCTTCCCCTCCTCATCCTCGTTCTCTCCCTCCGCCCCCATTTCCCCGTGGCAGTACCTGGACACTTCAAGAATGTGCCGAAAACCTCTGGTAGCTACAAGCAACACTGCAACACCAAAACGTACCCTCCATGCTCCCACTCCTCGTCGTTCCTCCTCCTCCTCCTCCTCCTCCTCCTCCTCCTCCTCCTCCGGTTCGTCCCCCCCCTTGTCCTCATCTTGTCCTTGTCCTCCTCATCCTCCTACTCCTCCCGAACAGTCGTCACCAGCAACATCATCACCATCCTGTTCACCACCACTATCAGACCCATCACCACCCTCCCTCATGGCTCCTCACCGTCTCTCCTCGCTCATCCTCCTCCCCTTCTCCCCCCTCTGCTGAGGGCGCGATGTAACCGCCCGATGCCCAATTGACTGGGACCAGAGCACTCCCCCGTCGTTCCCCAGGCTGAGAAATTCCCGAGAGCGATACGCAGACGACGGCCGCTCCGACCCTCCCCTTCATGATCGTCACTCCTGGCTCCCGTTTCGCCATCATCAGCATCGCCACCATCATCATCACCAGCATGTTGTTTTCACTACCATCACAACTACCATCATCACGATCACGATCGTGATCATATACGCCGTCCTCACCACCACCATTGGCATCGTCGCCATCACCACTATGACACCATGGTCCTCAACAGCAGCATCAGCATCGCCACTCGCTCCATCGCCATAGTCATCCTTCCCCCCCTCGTCCTCGTCCTCGTCATCGTCCTGCTCCCTCCTCCTTCTCCTCCTCCTCCTCCTCCTCCTCCTCCTCTTCCTCCCCCTCCTCACCCTCCTCCTCCTTCTCCTCCTCCTCCCTTTCCTCCCTCCGTCCTTCGCCCTCCCCCCTCGTTCATCGGCACCCCCAGTACTCGGCACGAACGCTACTCCTGGCTCCTCCTCTCCTCGTGAAGCCGCGCGGGTGCGGGCCAACGGCGGGCCACCGGCGGCGGCGGCAGAAGGGATGGGGGCGGGCGGGTTAAGGAAGGGGGGATCGGGACGGCGGCGGCCCCGCCAAAGGCCAGGGGAATTATTTGAGATATTCGACTGTACGCAAGAGTGGCCCTAGGCAAGAGTGACCATTGGTGCGCGGCTTTAGGGGACCGCGGAGGGCCCAAATCCAAGCGCGCGGGCCAGTGCTGGGGCCACCCCTGCGAGCCCGCACCAGAAGTCACGCCAGAGAAAGGCCACTCTCGCGCGTAGCCGATATATGCAGGCCAGAGTGCCCGAGTCTCGGGCCGGGCTGCAGGCGCGGGAGGGGGGAGGAGAAGATAGAACGGAGCAGGAGGAGGAGCGAACTGGCCACCGAGGGGAAGGCTTCCTGACCACCACCTATACAATACGATGATACCCGCTGCCTGCTAGCTGGCCAGTACAACATAGACGTGCGTAATATCGCAAATCGCACTCGGGGCATGGAACACGAGAGCGAGATAGACATAACAGTAGGTCTGGAAGACTGGCGGATACGGGCGACAAGGGGAGGCGAGAAGCCCGTCCTACCAAAAGCGATCCTCGCAACCTCTAATATAGGTGTCGCCGTCCAACACGCTCGAATAGAGGACGCCCCCAGAGAACAACATATCGTGGTGACCTGGGCCTGGCTCGGGGTCGTAGTCGGCGATGCACGCGAGGCACCGGAATTTATACAGGAGCTGTTTGCAAACACCCACGCATGCCATCCGAAATACTGCTTTGCTGTCATAATGGTCTGACCCATCACGAAATCGTCACGTCGGAGTTATTGCACCCACGACTACGCGTCGCATTGCTCGGTAACGTCCAACTCGAGGGCCGAAGCTGCACACCACTTGGCGTTGGAAAGACTCGTGGCGATGTTGAGAATGCTCTCGCCGACCCAATGCGTGCAGGCGTCCACGATACCGGGTGCAAACGCCTCGGCGGGCTCGCTGGAGCTGTCGAGCTGGAGCGACTCAGCTGGGTCAACGGGCACGGTCGCTTCTTCGAACGTGAGGGATGGAGGCGATGAGAAAGACCGCTACACTGACACTTCGTCACGCTGTGAAGCCAGGCACAGGTTCGGCTCGGGCTCCAACTGCTGAAGATGACCATCGACATACTCCTGGCTCACGTGCCGCACATCTTCATGAGCGAGGTTCAGTTTCTGGATCTCACGGCTCGGGCACCACAAGCATGCCATCGCCCGCAGTGTTCATCGGCCGCCGGAGGTATGCTGACAGGATGATCGACTCTCTGGAAGAGAAGTCGGCGAGACTTGTGAGAGAGGGGGTAGATGTAATGGAACAGCTCAGAACAGTCGGGACCGCGGGGCAACGAAGCTACGGGATGATGAGGAGGAGAGGGAGGACGGGGAAGGGGAGGAGGGGGAGAGAAAGGAAGAGGGGAAGGGAGGAGACGACGTATTATCCAGGAGATGGAGGGAAGAGGAGGAGGATGTGGAGGCGGAGGAAGGTGAGAGAAGAGGACGTATGGAATGATGAGGGGAAATCGAGAGAGAGAGAGAGATAGATAGATAGAGAGAGATGCAAGCATGGCATTGGCGGCAGAAATGGCCAGTGCGAGGGCGTTCGATGGAGATCCGCAGAAGGCCAAACCATATGGATCCCAGGGCAACTGGCAAGTGCGGAAAACGATGCCAGTACAAGGGGAAGCCGCGGGGATCGACAGGAAGCAAAGGCAAAAAGAACTGAGCAGTCACCTGCAAGTGCGACAAACATGGTCAGCTCTTTCTACGATGCAAGGAAGAGTTGCTGAGTGCAAGCGCTGTTTGGAGACCATCCTACAGCAAGCCCCTGTCGTAACGGCCCCAACGCTGGCTTCTCACGCCGCATGACTCTCCCAACCTGGAACGATCGGCGGCGTTTCAATCGCCAGATCTTTCCAGATTGGCCGATGATGGGCTACTGGCGGCGCTCAACCTTGATCGCCCGCGCGGTGGGGTCGCTGCCGCGTCAACACGACGCGAACCTGACTTGATTTGGGCCGCGCCGAGCTCACTATGACGCTCCGTTGCCATTTTGGCTCAAGCGATCGTACGGCCTCGCCCGCGCGCGCCCCCTTCTCGGCGAGGCGCTGCTGCGGGATGTCGGGGCCTAGAGGGGCTCCCTCGGCCCTCGGCTGTGGAGGCCGCCGTTCGGGCCGCGGTGCTGGCTGGGGCGCCGCGCCGCACGGTTGCGGCCGTCACGAGGCCGGCCATCTCCGCAACGCTCTTCGCGTGCGGGCAGCGGCCGCCGCGGACGGCCGCGGCCGAGCCTGCTGGTGCGGCTGCCCCCGATATCGACGCGTCGCCTGCTGCGCGGCCTGCCGCTGCGGCGGCGCGGACGGCGCGGCGGAGGCGTCGACGCCAAGCCCTCGCTGTTCGGCGAGCGGCGGAGGCGTCCCCCGCTGCGGCGGATGGCGGAGGAGGCGCTGATGCCGGCGGTGTGGGCAGGGGCCTCGTGCTCGTGCAGGTGCCGCTGGAGGAGGGGCCCGCTGCCACGGAGGAGGTTTCGGACGTGCTGGACGACGAGTGGGCCGACTCGGCCCCAGCGCAGCGCGCGCGGCCCCCTCCCAGGGCGTGCCACGCTGCGGGGCCGGCTCAGGGTGGCGGCTGCTCGGCGGCTGCGGTTGGCGGCTCGGGCGCGGTGGCGCTGGTGCGGCCGTCGGCCCCCGCGGGGTCGGCGGCGGTCCCCTCCCTCGGGCGCTCCGCGGAGGAGTTCGAGGCGAGCCGCGACCTGAAGAAGAGAGCAGCGGCGATCATCGCTCTGGGACGCTAGCGTGGTCGGGGGGCGATGCGGGCACCCCGTGCACATCTTTTCACTGCCCAGTGGTCCTCGCCCCCTGTCGCACGGCCGTGGGGTGATGTCTCCCCTGTGGTGACAGTTGCTCAGGGGTCCGCGAACCTTTCTGTACAGGTTGCGCGGCAGGCACGGGGGAGGATTTGCCCTCCCCGACCGTATGCCCTGCGGCGGCGCTGGACTGTGTTAATCTTGCTCTGGCCACGGGGCGGTCGCCCGTCGTGTGGCCAGTGCCTCCTAGCCCATGGGGCTGCTGGAGGTACTCTTTCGGCCAGTGAGGTATCCCTCACTCCCTCACTGCCAGCAGCGGTTTCCCAGCCGCCGCTGCTGTGTTCACCAAGGCTGTGCGGGCGTTGAGCTCATCGAGCTCACTATGAAAAGAACCGCTGCCCAGTGCGCCCTTGCAGGTGGGCTCCTCGTGAGCCAGGGGCCGTATCTTCGTGCCAAGAAAAAGCAGCCAGCCTGGAAGTCCCTCAGTCCCCCTCGCCATCTACGGGGGAGCGCTTCGCCTCTTCCTGTTCCACTTCGGGTGAGCGGTTTGCCCGACTGCCCCCTGCACTGGGTCTGGACGGGGGGGGGGGGGGGGCGAGCTGATCGCGGGTCCTTTTTGGCCTCCGACGGCGCTAGATAGCCCAATATGGCCTCCACTATACAATGCACGCCACCCTAAATGGTTGGTTTAAATATAACCTGACGCATGCCTCCAAGAGGCCCCAAGACGGCTCCAAGTGGCCACTGCGCCTCCCCACGATACCCAAGAGAGGCAAACGTGCGAGCACCTACTTCTCACACATCATATTCCGACTGGTTCTTGAGGTCTCAAAGTGGCTCCAAGATAGGCTTGTCTGGCCATCGTTGCTGGATGGACTGGTGGGGACATGCGGAGCGTCAGACACTTCTTTTGGTACGGCATGACACACGATGTAACACAATGTTAGACGTTGTCATGCTGTGCTAAACAATAATCGGCCAATGCGTGCGAAGTTGTGCTGGACGCGCAAAACTATGGATTGAATGATCTGATATGCCGTTCTATGCTACGCAGTGCAGAGCAAACCTGCGCTATGCCATGCTGCGCGATTAGTCGCCAAACTGTGCTACTCAATGCTACGCTGTTCAAAGCCATACAACGCTGCTGTGACGTGTAGGCTGTGCAATGCTACGCCCTGCACCGCTATGCTGCTGGTGAGGCTTCGGGTAGCGCACCAACAGCCGCCGCAGGTAGTCCCAGCTGGCCTCAACAGGCCCCACCGAAGAGTGGTACAGGACGGTCTGAACACCTCAACCCTTGGGCGCGGAGCGCCCAGGGAGGGCGCCAGAGGCGGCGCCATGGTGCTGAGACCGCCCCCGACTGACCGCGGGCATGTCGAGGCCTGTCGGTGCGCAACCCGAAGCTTTCCTACACATACATGCGTGTATACATATATCTATATACATCTACATGTATGTGCCTGTGTGTATGCACTTACCAAAAATATGATGTATACATGCAAATACATTCGTGAAATATATACATACATGTGTGTATAGGTTCTGCGTCATGCTCCCCGCTGTACTGCACCACCCTCAGCAAGAGGGCTGTACCCCCCGAGAGGGAGCGCGCCGGGTCCACTGATGTTTCTGGCGAGAGGCGCGGAACGCGTGGAACGCGGGACGCGCTCCGCAGCCACGAAGGGAAAGAGCGAGCGAGAGACCACACGGGGACTCGTGGTCGGCGACTTCTGGCCGGCGTGCTGCGGCGGCGGCCCCGGCGACGCGCTGCGCCCTGCAAGCGGATCGCGTGTCGCTCCGCCCCGCGGGTCGGGAGGCTGGGAACAGCTCGGGACATTGACGCTTGGAATGGGGGCATGGGCAGCATGTCGCGCCGAAGCGTGGTGGGCCAGGACCGGCGGAGCGACGCGCTGAGCCAAAACTCCTGACCGTAGAGAAGGGGGTTGGCGGCACACATCAGGAGGTGGGGCGAGGAGGGCAGCGCTCCGAGAGGGCCAGGACCAAATCCGGGCGGACCTCGCAACGTGAATGTTTATGCAGTCCTTCTCTCCTTCGGCCCTGAGAATGGAACGGGACCGCGCTCAGGCGCTTCCGGGGGAGGCTCCCTCGAGGCAGGAGGCTTCCAGAGAGGCGGGGCGCACTCCTGGGCCGCTCTCCTCGCCCCGCGTCCCGAGGCCGCCGCCGAGGGGAGGAAGGGGTGGGGGAGCTCGGCCCCTCAGAGCAGCACGTCGGAGCACATGTCCTGGTGCTGGTGGAACAAAACAAGCTTGAGAGGAGAGGAAACCACCCTCATAAGAAGCACCCCGACGAACGAAGCCGTTTATGCGAGCACAGTATATGACCACCACCACCACCAAGATCTGCAAAAACCTATGGTCCAAATGGCGCAGTCTTGCTTAAGTGGACAATCCGCAGCCCCCCTCCCGCCAGCAACGGCAACCGGGGGTGCCCCCTTCTTTCCAAGGGGCCGAAACAGAATTCATCAAAACACGCGCGGAGCTGGTGTGCATAATTTTGCTCGTGAGGAGGACACTTACTTATACACCACCACCACCCAAAAGTGGTGTTTCTGCTTGAAGAACTCCCCCACCACGGCGCCCGCACGCCGCGACGCGCTCCATTTCTCTGCGGGCCCGCAGCCTAGTCTGGCATGGCCCTGCCTCCAACCATTTTTGCGGATATTTTCTTTTCGGGTGGTGGTGGTGTCTAAGACTCGGCCTCGCAATTTACTAAACGCACCCAAGAAGGAATCAAACCAGGCAAGGCTGTGTAGTAAACGCCCAGGACCGTGTAGCAAACGCCAATTATGGGGGTCGGCGTGGTTCTTCGTCCCTTGAAACAACTCGGAGGTCCGTGCGGATTTCTTGGATCGGCACTGGAACCCCTCTCCATGGCTCGCGGGGCGCGCAGGGGGTGGCGCCCGAGGCGCCGCCAACGGGGGCCAACCCCAATGCAAGAAATCTGCGCGGACCTCCGAGGCAATATGTGTCTTTGCCGCTGTTTGTTCTTCGATGTCCTTCCCCTCCTCCTCGCCATCCTCCCTCTACTCGTCGGCCGCCAACTGGGCGTCCACCTCGGAAAGGGCAACGTCGACCCTGTCCACCTTCAGCCTGATGTCGGCGCCGAGAGCGAGCTTCCTCCACAGCTTTCCCTGCCCAGCGAGGTAGAGCCTCGCTGGCTTCGCGGCGCCGATGTCCACCCACACGGTGGGAAACTCCTTCCCCCACGGCCGCTCGGCCGCTCCACGGGTCAGCGGCACCAGGAGACAATCCAATTGCTGTATTTTTGTTCCTCTGCGCTTCGTCCCTCCATCCCTCTGCGAGAACTGGAAAGTAGCCTCGCGATGGAGCTGTAGCTGGGGCTCCCGATGGAGCGCGGCTCATGCCGACACATGAGGCCGCATTAGACACGC